TTAAGAAAGTGGAAGCTGTTTGTTCAAGTTTTCTTGGAGTTTGGACCTCAGCACAGAATGGGAAGTCTAAAGATTGTGGCCCCTGACGCAGAGTCACCTCAAGGGTGTGACTTGGAAATCCACTTGACTTTGAAAGTCCCCTCGGGTGTGTGTTACCTTGTCTGTACTGCTAGCAACTCCCTTAGTCCTTGACATTGTACCCACAGACCTCTGAGCATTTATTGGGCCTAAATCTGTGTGGAAGCCTCTCCCAAAATTTGTTCCCAAAACTTCATTTCAAAATCTCTATGAGCTTTCAAACGTCATGTAACAAGAGCCCGTATTAGCCACTAGCCTGGTGGAGGTCTCAAGTGTTACTGTGCTAGTCACATGATCAAAAGGTGCCGTTCGTACATGGGCTTCAGCAAAAGATTCAGAGTTCACGGAGTTGTTAATTTTCGGTAATTTAAAAGGATTCAATTAATACTCTTATCGCCAAACAAGAATTACAATTTACTGATGCTCTGACTAACTTTTGGTCGTTCAGAAAATAAAGCCTCACATCACCGTCTTATGCTTGCACTCTTGCTGTTTAGAGTATCTGTGCCACGTCTATGTCCGAAACGACAGCCTCGCAGGTGTCGCCATTGCTGACAGTGAATATCCTTCTCGGGTGGCTTTTACCTTGCTGGAGAAGGTAAGTTTGTGCCCAACTGGGTTGGACTTGAATAAACTGAGTGGGGAGAATGAGTGGGGTTTTGTATCTAGGTAACCGTTCTGCGAACGTTGTGTCCAAATTCAAGGCATTGTCAGTTTTTCTCCATGCTCTAAATCAAGAAGAAATTGAACCCACCTTTCCTGGGCCTCTCTGTGATACTAATCACTGCCCCTCCAGCTACCTCTTTCCAGACAGGCAGCCCTGGAGCCACGTTGGATGCTCCTTCCCTCCCTTCGCACATTTGCCTGCCACTGAATCACACAGCCGCTCTTGCTTTGAAAGGAAACCCTGGACACAGTTCTCATACCCTTCTGTTGCCTCTCCTGGCCTATCCTCTTGTCCCTTCATTCCTGGTCCGCCCCTGACTCTTGCTTTCACCCTCTGGATTCTGTCCCCACACTTTCCCAGTCGTGGCCTCCAGTTACCTTCTAGATTGCACTTGGCTCTGCAGTCTGCTTTGTAGCACACTTCCCCTTCCTAAAGGCTGTGCCTGCACAGACCACAGTCCCACCTCCCTGCGCGCTCTCTTTGATCCTCTCCAGTCTTACTTTCTCCAGAGGGTCCCCACAATTATCAGAGCGCTCTTTCTAGATGTAAGTCACCACCACATAGCTCAACACTAGACTTTCTTTCTTCCCTTTTATTTTCAACGTTTTATTGTGAATTGGGTGAGTGTTTACAGAGCAAATCTGTTTTTCTTCTCTTTTTTTTGAAAATCAGTTTTTCATTTAAGTTTATATCGATTTTGTTTCATGTGATTGACTGTAATTCTCATAGCATAATGTCACTCACCCTACTTCCTCCCTGTTCCCTATTTCCATTCTTCCTCTTTTCCTAACCATGTTAGTCTCCTGAGCTTTGTCTTGAGCAGTGCTGTCTGTTTGATCGCTAATGGTTGTTCCCAGGTGTGCGTATCTGCCTAGTGTAATTGTTCACCTTTCAGACCTGTCTCTGATATGACTGAATGTTAACATATGGGGGTGAGTTTAGTTCCAGGTCTGACAGGTGACTAAGGGCCATCATTTGAGGCATTCTACCAGTCTTTGTCTGGTCAATCAGCCTGGTCTTTTTTATGATTTTGAGTTTTGTTCCACATTTTTCTCTCACTGTGACCAATCACAAGCTCCTTGAAGATGGATAACTTATTTTATTCCCCACATTAAATTCAGTGGTTTTTTAAATTTCAAAGGATTCAATTCCGACCCTCCCATACCCCCCTTTTAAAAAACAAACAGACAAACCAATGGCTTTACATTAATTACTGTTAACCTCTGGATGTGGAACCATAAAAACCCAGGAAGAAACCAGATATTTGCCAGTACAAGTTCAGTTGATCAGTGGTGGCAAAGCTTACGCTCAGCATGACACACCGCTAGCGGGGCTTTGTAAATGTGGCGTGCGTGCATGTCGTCGCAAGCTCCTTACAGTGCCAGCTCAGTTCTGCTCCAGTGTCTTCTCTAGGAGTTGTACCCAGTCTTAGTAGTTTTCATTAGAATCCATCTAGGAATGGGCCAATTCTGCTTTTATTTCTTGGCCAGGAATCTCTTGATCCTGACAGTCCTATGAGCAGCCATTATGAAGATGGAAAACAACACACTCGGGATGGGAGGGAGCTCAGTTCCTTTTTCCCGAATAGTTGCTTTAAAATAGGTGAATGCCCATTTTACCCCGGGAACTTTATGGACTGATAACAATGGCTGGAAATGTGTGATTTAAAGTTCAAGAAATTTTATTATCCAGTGGTGATGTTCATTTCATACTGGGCACAATTCTTAGCTTTCAGCTTATGTTTTAATGATGAAAATGTTCTGGAAAGGGGAGCGTTAGCCTAGATTTCTCCATTGCTATTAGATATCTTCCCCTGAGACCACCTCCTTTGCGGTCAGACTCAGGATTCTGGCCTGTGTCGTGGGTGTGGGTAAGCACAGGGTGGATGGGCATGCCGGTGAAGGTCCTTTATCTTGCAGGTACTAGACGAGTTCTCCAAGCAGGTGGACAGGATAGAATGGCCAGTGGGATCTCCTGCTACAATCCGTTTTGACACCTTGGAGCTTCACCTTAATAAATACCAGGTAGGATTTAAAGAGACATGATGTAGAGGAGTGTGTGTGTGCCTGGCTTGGTGTGCAATTGGGCATCACTGCCTTGAGTTTGGGCTCTGGTGACTGCCTTGCAGCCTCTATTGCTAGTTGTCTCTCTTGAAGTTTCTTTTTGAAAAATGCAGCGACTCTGCATTGAGACCTGGGACCCTGCCATTCGAGGCGGGTTCTGTCTCTGTGGTATGTTTAAATAGATATGGCCTGTCATGGTACAGCGTGCTCGCTTCCCTCTCTTTGGAGCTTTGTTTCTATGGTGACCATTAAAGTCCTGATTTGCTCTTATTTTTGACTCCTTCCTAGAATCCCCGAGAAGCTGACCCCATGACCAAAGTGCAGGCTGAACTTGATGAGACTAAAATCATTCTGGTAAGCAAGAGGGGTGTAGAACAAAGTTGAAATGAGGGCTTTGCCACAGGTCATGCATGCAGTTTTATTAGTAGTCAAAGTACTTTCCTGAACCGTGCTTGCCCATCTCTCCCATGCACCAGAGCCCTTATACCCATAGACCCACTGAAATAGCCCAAGTTGACCCCCTCCCTTCCACTATTCCCTGTCATGGTTCATGGCACCCATTTTTTGTCAATATCAGGCTCCAGACACTTAATTCTCACGACTGCCTTTTATTTTGGTTGGTTTATATGCTTGGATACCTGCAGAGACCAGGCAAGGCCTGAGTGTGGAGTTGGGTAGGCCCACTGGAAATGTATCTGCACTGATAGGTAATAGCCGCACATCCGGTGACACAGACCCAGAGTCACCACGGATGCTGGTTTTAGAAAGAACGCAGGACTTAGCATTGCCTAGAACTTTCCTGATTTGTAACTGCTCTTTGTTTGCTTGTTTTAGCTGCTCCAGTTGTCCACGGTCAGTTGTCCACTTTTTACCTTGTGTTTAGGTCTTTGTTATCTTTTCCTTAATGCTCATCATGGCCCTCTAATTTTTCCTCTTCTAGCATCACATACCTCCATTCTGCCCCCAAATCAGTAGTTATCATTCTTGTGTTTTCTAAAATCTGTCAGTATATTCATGGAAGAAAATTGTGGAAGTAGATTGTTGTGTAATAGGGTGAAAGTAACTATGAATTACGTAGTGCTGCTATACTAGGAATGCCACAAGTGGATGGCTGTAACAGACACAATTACTCTTTCACAGTGTTGGAGGCTGGAAGTCCAAAAGCAGGGTGCCAGCGCTAGGAACTGCTTTCTCTGTTGGCGCTGGAGGAATGTCCATATCTGTTTTCAACATTGTGGGCTTGGCAGCCCTTGTGGATCTTGGTTTGTCATGGCGCCAGTCTTCCCTTTCATCTAGGAGGGTCCCGTGCAGAAACCTTGGGGCCAAAGGATGCACTCCATTCCAGGCTCTTTCTTGTTGGTACTGAGTGAGCCTCCCTCTCCTTTTCGCTCTTGTACGATCAAAGGTGATGCAGGCCACACCCCAGTGAAACGCCCCTGACATTGGGTGAGCACTGTGACTTGAGTAGGGAGTTGCAGTCTCCCCTCATCCCCTTACAACTGATTGAGTGATCACATCAGATTATACCATCCTTACATAACTGCCAAATTATGTTGTTGTTAGGTGCCGTCTATCCTGGCCCGCAGTGACCTTAGAAACAACTGGATGAGCCACTGCCCGGTCCTGCACCTGCCTCACAATTGTTCCCCTGGTCACGCCTAGTGTTGTAGCCACTGTGTCAGTCCATGTCATCAAAGGTTTCTTTTTTCACCGTCCCTCTACTTTATCAAGTATGACGTCCTTTTCTAGGGACTGGTATCTCCTGATAACATGACCAAAGTACATGAGACAAAGTCTTACTGTCCTTCCTTCTAAGGAGCACACTGGCTATATTTCTTCCAAGACAGATTGATTTGTCGTTTTAGCAGTCCATAGCACTTCCAATATTCTTCACCTGCACAATTCAAATGCATGGATTTTCTCCTTTTTAAAAAAAATTTGATTAAAGGATCATTTTATTAGGGGCTCTTATAGCTCTTATAACAATCCATACATCAAGTATATTTGTACATATGTTGCCATCATTATTTTATAAACATTTACTTTCTGTTTGAGTCCTTGGTATCAGCTCCTCTTTTTTCCCTCCCACCCCACACCTTCCCACCCTTGTGTCCCTTTGATAAATGATAAATGATTATTTTTATATCTTACGCTGATTGCTGTCTACCTTCCCGCACTGCACTGATTCTTCCTACGGTCTTCCTTATTCAATGTCCAACTCTCACATGCACAGGATGCAATAGAGAATACCGTAGCTTGGGTCAGATGCATTTTAGTCCTTAAAGTAACATCCTTGCTCTTCGGTACTCTAAAGAGATCTTGTGCAGCAGATTTACCTAATGTAATAGGTTTTTTGCTCCCCTGACTGTTGCTTCCATGAGCGTTGATTGTGGATCCAAGTAAGACAAAATCATTGACAGCTTCAATCTTTTCTCCATTTACCATGAGGTTACCTACCGGTCTGGTTTGGTAAACCGAGGGACTGGATCAGAGTGTAATGCAACTAAATCCTCTATGCTTATAATTACGGGTCTGGAAAGCCAACTGTGGGAGTGGGGGGAGGGAAGACTCTCACATTATGAGATATTAGTAAATCTTAATACACATTCTCCTGACTGGACACCGTCGCTCCAATACCCTCCCCCCAAAGGAATGATCATAAAAGGAGCTACCATATAAGATGACTCATTCTTGCGCCTGTTCTCTGTGCCTGAAGGTTATCTGTAGATAAGAGCAATCAGGTTCAATAACCGAACCCCCAAAATGTAGCCAACTCTGTTCTGACGTCTCTTGCTGATATGGATCATAGATTGCTCCCCTGGGGAGGCCTCGGGCATTCAAGGTCAAGCACTAGGTCAAGATAATGATTTACCTCATTGCTTGTTTATTATGTTACCTGCGTATGATATTACCCATTGACTATGTAATGTGTTCTCACTATGATTTGTATGCCTTTTGAAAGATCTATAATAAGCCCTATTTTATATACCCATTGGAAAATACATTCATGCGCTTGGTGTATTTTCCACAGTCACTCCTGAGGACCTTTTCGAGTGTTGGGGACCCTGTTATGAGGATTTTAGCTTTCTGTATATGAGTTGTAGTCCATACCAAAGACTATAATCCTTGATCTTCATCAGTAAGTGCTTCAAGTTCTTCTCATTTGCCACAAGCACGGTTGTGTCATCTGCTTATCTCAGGTTAATAAGCCTTGCGCTAACCCTGATGCCACATTCTTCGTATAATCCAACTTCTGTAGTTATTTGTTCAGCATACGAATTGACTCAATATGGTGAGGGGAGACAACCCTGACACGCACCTTTCTTGACTTCTAACCTTGCAGTATTCCCTTGTTCTGTTCGCACAACTGCCTCTCAGTCTACGTACAGATTCCACATGAGCACAATTAAGTATTCTGGGATTCCTATCTTGTAGGCTATTCATAGTTATGCCAAATTATGTCAACATGTAATTGCCAAACCACTGAGATTCTTGGTCCAGCCAAACATGCTTACATTATGGGGCACACAGTTCAATCCATGACAGTAACTTATGCCACTGAATTGTATACCACAATGAAAAAGAGTTGAGAGAGAGCCAGTGTGATAGAATGATGGGAAAATCCCTTCAATAGCTTTCGAGTCAGCTCTACAGCAAGATCTGGGTCCTGTGCCCTCTGGTGTCCTTTCCAGCCAGGTCTCCTACAAGAAACCCTCACTTAAGCCTGTCAAGTTGTTGCCTATTTGCTGACCACACTGTGCCTTTTAAAAAAAGATCACTGTGTTGCCTGCTGCCATGTCTCTGGTGATGGTGTAGCACGCAGAGGACCCTCCCCTGTCTCTGCTGCAGTGCCTCGCTCCTACCACCGTGTAGGAGTGGAGGTAGGCATGAGTGAGTGACGAGAAAGCCTCTGGATGCCCAGGAAAATCCCACCCTCCACATAAGACTCGGCTGCAGCACTGTGCCTCGGGTTTTAGTGTGTACCTCGGTAGCTCCTGGGATGGCACGCATGGTTTTGGAGAGGGCCCAGGAGTCTGAATTCTATGGAAAGCATAAGTCTTTTGGACAGTGCTTTGACTAACAGGGATAAGCATAGGCGTGGAAGTCTTCAAACATTTCTTGTTGGTCCTTTTTAACCAGCCTTGAATGCCCCTCACCCCCACCCCCAAGAAGTTGAAGTTCTTATTTATTTTTAAACGTTTTATTGTGATTTAGGTGAAGGTTTACACATGTTTGTTTGAACTCATCCTGGAACTAAATCACGATGCCTGGCAGTGACCCATGCCATGACTTAGGTGCATTGTGGAGGGGTCTCAACGAAGTACTTCCTCAGGACTGACCTTCTTGAGAGCCTAATGTTATTGTCAATCAACTTACTGAAGAAGACTTTCTCTCTCTCGTCCAGCACAACACCATGGAGTCTTTGCTAGAGCGCGGAGAGAAGCTAGATGACTTGGTGTCCAAATCCGAAGTGCTTGGAACGCAGTCTAAAGCCTTCTATAAAACTGTGAGTGCTGGCCCGGGCTCCTCCTGGGTAGCCCTGGGCAGAACCATGGCAGTGAACTCATTTCTGGGGCAGCCTTCATAAGAACAAGGCTCGGAATAATGGGTTTGCTTCATGCCTCATGCAATGGCCAGGGCTAGGCTGGTTAGTGCTAGATCCCAGGAATGACAGGGAGGATGGCAGGTGTATTCAGGTGCTGTGCCCACCTTGCCTTCATGCCCCGTGGTGCTGGTTTCAGATCATGTACCCCTCCCCAGACAGGTGAAGCTGGGTTCACTTCTGATTATTGGGCTTAAAGATAAATCCTTAAGATACCAGTATTTTAGGCTTTCTGAAAAGGTGTTTAGGCTACTAACTAATTCCCCTTTGATAGTTGTATTCCACTGGCAAGGATTATTCATACTGACACAGACCGTACCGATGTCTCCTTCGCAAGAATGACTATTGGCCCATTGCTTGAACAGTGGTGGAGATGGATTTATTTGATGCATCCACATACATTTGTCTTGGAGGCAGATGGCCAAGAAGGATTAGGGGTACAGTGACCAGGGGAAACATGCCTTCCCTTGTAAGAACCTCTAGAAAATACAGCTGTCTGAGTGTTTCCACAGAGCAGGACAAAGGATGGCAAGCAGTGCTGGTGGACGATAGGAATAAGGGCAGAGTTAAGGCATCCAGCCAATTCTATTTGCATGTGGTACGTGGCTGAACAGCAGGACTGTTACTGGCTGGTTATTTGTATGAATGAGTGTTGTAGAGAAAGATGAGGCTCCAGAATCTACATGGAACACCTGAGCTTACCTTGCTTTTGGTGGGAGGAGTTGTAGTTTCCTCGGCAGTGTGGAGGACAGTGTTGTGCTTTTTGTTCGAGTTTCCCCTTCGAGCTCAGCAGTTGGGGACATGCGCTAGGTGTGGAGCCCCTGCAAGCAGCCTGTAGACCTGAGGCCTCCCCTTTCCCTACAGCGGCTATTCTATTGGTGTAGAGTTGGGGGCAGGGTGAGTAGCAGGCTGAGTGGGGTGTTGAGCCACGTGACTCTCCTGAAACCTTTTTTCAACTCCTCTTTGTTTTCCAAGGCCCGGAAGCAAAACTCGTGCTGTGCAATCATGTGATGCCAGCCTGCAGAGACTCCTGCGCTGGAAAAGTCACTGTCATTCACAAGAAAAACTGTAAAACACCCAGAAAAGAAGAAACTGTCTCCGAACAGGACCCAGAGTTGGGGACACTTTTCCGGTTTTTTAATTTTTTTTTATTTTGGGAGTTTCCTGGGGGAAACCGAGGAGGGTGGTGGAAGGGATCTGGTAGGTCGTGGAATGTTCACATTCGTATGTCATGTTGTAATTTCTGGAAAGATCATTTGAGGTCCCTAAAGGCATGTTTTTTGGGCCAAATGAAACCATAAACTCTCAGTGACTCCTGTAGATGCTGAAGGACTCAGTTCGCAGGCCTTGTCTTGTCCCCCAAGAAGAACCCTGGCATCAGTAGATCAAAGCCCGTCTTTCTCTTTGGTCTGTCAGTTATATTAACGTAGAAGAAAGTCACTCCAGCCAACAGGAGGGTGTTCCCTGACTGCCGTGCGGCTGTCCATCAAAAGGCCCAGCTGAGTGGTTGGTGGTCAGGCATTCAGTGCAGGTGTCCTGAGGAGACAGACAGTAGGCATTGCAGATTGCTGAGACAGCAGCTCCGTCCCGTGTTTTTGAAGATTGACTTCTTGTGGCATGTGGGGTCCGTCTCAAGCACTATTGTCATGGCAGTACCACAAAGCTGACTTCAGTGGACATGGTCAGGGAATCTGAGCGTCTTGGCGAGAGTCTTTGGGCAATGGCTACCTCAACCAACAAGTTGGGAGTTAGAGCCAGAAAAGCGTTTGTTTTGTTTTTTTCTCTTTAGTGCTGAGGTGGTCCGCTGGAAGTCATCTTCAGGGGGGAATCCAAGCCAATGTTTATGGAGCTGTCCCGGTGGCATCTGCCTTGATTTGTGATTTGGTTTTACGTCAAACCCCGGGATCAAAGCAGTGTGCCCGATAGTCATCTCTAGACTGGTTTTCATTTGCCTCTCTGGCTATCTACCTTCCTCAGCTACTGCCTGGGGTCCAGGAGTCTTAACAACTGGGAGCTCTCTCCAGTCTCCCTCTAGCCCAGCGTTTTGCCTCAGGAGAATGGCTGCCTGGCTGGAGGAGCCATGCCAGTGGGTTGCTCCTGGGGGGAGTGGGCTGCTCTCCTGGGGCTCAGAAGCCTCTTTGGTCCCACAGGAGGCCTGCCACTGCCCAGTGCTAGAGAGAGCCTCCTGAGAGAGGCCCAGGAGGTTCAGTGGTGTCCACTTGGCTAGCCTAGGCCCTGATGCCATGTTTCATACTGTCTGGTCCGTGCTGCGCTATGCTTCGAGGACACAGGCTCTTGTACCTTTGGGGATCCTGTCCACAGGTCCCTGCTTCACGAGATGGTGCCATCCCACCAGATTTTTAACCAGCATGGGTTTCCTCCTTGTGAACCGTTCTCTTGGGCTTGTCTCCCTTGTCCTGTTTTTGAACCACCCAAGAGGTCCCACTCTCCCCCATGGAAGTGCCAGGCAGCCAGCAGTCCGTGCAGGGGCTGGGATGGAACCTAGCCGGTGCCTGAGACCCTGCCATCTGGGTACTCTGCGGACCAAAGATCTTTTGCTTGCCTGTGTGATTTTCCTACTGCCATGGGGCCCCTTCTCCCAGGGCTAGGGCGCCTCTCTTGATCCTGAGCAGCAGCATACCCACCGGCCTTGCCCACTGGAGTCCCGGTGGCTGAAATGTGAGGTTCACTCAGGTGTGTGGATGTCTGACCAAGCATCTGGGACTTTGCCCCTCTGGGGATCTTTCAAGCTGCTCCCCTTGTCCCTTACATACGAAGGCACTGACTTTGCCTTTAGCCCTTGGTGGGTTTTTGCCACATTTCAGGCTCTACCGTGGCCTGCCCTCCCTGCAGGGGGAGCAAAGAACAATGCAAGGGGAGGTGGCGGGGGTGTCCCTGTGGGACAAGACACGGACATGAGTTGGGCAGCATGGGTTGGGCTGCTCCCTGGAAGGGGCTTGGCTCTAGTAGCCTCTGCCCCAAGACTGCTCTCCTGTTTCACTGACAAAGTGTGTAACTGCTACCTAACTTGTTTCTCGTGTTCTGTTTTGAGATTCCTGTCTGGATAAAGCTGTCTGTAGAAATTCCAATTTGGTCCTATGGCTTTGTTGCCTGGGCGTTTCCTTCGAGATCCTCACTGCTGACTGGAGGATGAGGTCAGCAGATATTGGCAGGGGTGGACAGTGGGCAGGAGATGGTCACCCTGACAGATTGACTTTCCGTTTCCATTTGTTTCCACCTCGCTTCACTGTTAACCAGATAGGGAGCCCAACCGAGTCAGAAAAGAAGCCCCGGTGCCTCTGTATTAGATTCCCCGGTGGGAGATACAATTGGGAAGTCCACCTGGGTCCTGGAGATCGCCAGAGAGAACTGCTGCCCCTCCCTGCTCCACTGAGCACACCCCACCAGACTCCCTCACAGACACGGTGGGGAATGGACCCTGGAAGGTGGCTGTGGGAGCAACAGTTTATCCTGCAGGTCAAATTGGTCCAGAAGCCGATCCTGCCGTTAGAAAGGGGGAGGGGAAAAAGGAAAGCTTGCCACCTCGTTCATTTGATCAGATTGAGTCTGGCATGTTTGATTGTGGCTCCACGCACAGCTCAGGACCCTAGTCTCCCTTTGAATCTGGGGGTTGGAACCAGAGAAGTTCCCGGGTGGCCCGGATGCAGCTACTCTGCATGAGTTGCCAGGGTGCCCACGGGGATCTTTGTGGAACAGAATTCCAGTTAGAAAGTACCTGATGAAACAGCAGACTGACCCTCCCCCAGTGCTCAGCTGGCCCAGTGACCCTCAGCTGCAAGGTGCCGGCCCAGGGTGCATCATGGTGTCTGCCGTCTTGCGGCCTATGGAGAGTCCCCTGAAATGATATGTATGCCTCCCTCTAGACCTGGGGACCTCCTGTCCAGAGGGGGATGGTAGGGACAGTGGCCTCTGATTCCCCTGCTGTGCCCACCCCTTCCACAAGTCTGGCTTGGGAAAACTGGGCTGGATCCAGTGACAGCCGATTGGGGAGTGGAGTTCTGGATGCAGCACTGTGACTGGGGCAGTGAAGCACACTGCCGCCTCTGGTGGACCTGTCTTAAGGGTCCCTGCCTTGCTATCCCTGTGAAAATTGTGTCAAGTGTCCAACAGAGGAGGGTGCTGGGATGTGTCACTGGCCTGAGGGACCTGGGGGACTGCCTGCCTGATGAGAAAAGAGGCTGAGAAGGCCTCGGGGTGGTTTGTTCTCCATTTCCATCCTCGGAACGCGGTGCGGAAGAAAGTGGAATAGGCAGGTGGCACACTCTCATCTTGGGGCCCGGGACCTAGGTGCCATCTGAGGACTAGTCGTAGGGGCAGCAGCTGGATGATGCAGCCCTCCTAGGGTGACAGGCCAGGCCTTGGGCTTCCACTCCCTGCTCTGACTGGCCTTTAAGACTGCCCTGGATATCCTTGTCCCCTACTCCCTCCCCTCTAGCCTGCTCCCTCACTGTCACTACCCAGAGTGTAATCACTCCTGCTCTTTGAACCCTGTTGGTTAGGAGGCATCTCTGCCAGGACAGTCGGGGTCTGGGTAAGGGCCAGGGATCATCCCACTGGGAGATGGCCACAGGGTGGCTACAACTTTCAGTTTCTGTGTGCCAGGCAGATGACTAACCCAGAGAACTGGCTGGCAGGCCTTGGAGCAGGGGTATGTATGGCTGGCTGAGCCATGAAGTCTGGCTGTGACCTGAAGCTAGGAACACCTACCTCACCTTCCCTCCCTGCCCTACATGGGCGAACCCTGGGCCCAGCCTGGCCTAGAGCCTCGGACCCGAGGTTCTGGCTCTGAAGGAGAGTGGGGTCCATAGGCCTGTCACAAACCATCAGCTACACATAGGAAGCAAGCCATTTGTCCTGTTTGTGTTTTATTTGCAGTTTCCCGAGACAGAACAAAATAATTTTTTGTACACTTACAAGGCTCAGAAACAAAAGACAGTAAAACTCAGCAAAAGGAGAAGGGTGGAAAGTCCACCAGCACGGGGGCAGCCGGCGAGCCTCCGCACGCCCCGCAGCCGGGCGGGCCACGCACGGACACCTAGTAGCAATGTGGGGTGTGGTTCTCCTTATCGGTCATGCAAAAGAACTGTCCCCCAGAAAACAAAACAAAACAAAAGCAATGATCCCAGACAGGCGGCTCCGCAGTAACATGGCAGCAGTGGCAGAGGCCGCCACCACACGGGTCCTGGAGATGTTTACCCTGTGTCCACAGAGGGAGAGGGCCTGGGCGCTGGCCATCCTGAGCAAGTCATGGACGACACAGTGGGCGTCCAGTCTGAGTGTCCCTTGATGGGCAACCCCCTGAGTGTGGGACCTGGGCCTGCTCACTTCATGTTCCTCCCTTGGCTTGAGTTGTGGGGGCAAGAGGAAAGTCCTTGTTGAAGATGCAGCCTGAATGGAAGGTGGCTGGTGTTGAGCTGGGTCCTCCCCTGTGCCTCGTCCTCCCTGCCCCTTAGCTGACAGGCACCTGGAACTCTCTGCTAGGCCCTGGTCTGCAGCACAGTGTGCCTACCCACTCCACAGGGAGGGCGCCCAGGCTGTGCTCACAAATGCTACAGGTGGTGTGGTCATGGAGAGAGGACCCTGCCCCACCTTGCCTCATAGGTGAAACTGGCTGCTAGCACACATAGCCATCTCTTGGATGCCCTCCCTCGAGTCCCAGTTCCTGGGCCCTGCGCCGAAGTATCCACACTGGGCCTGGCTCTCCTTGTGGGCCAGGCTTCTGCACACAGCCTGTTGTCTAATCTGTGGCTGGGTCCCTGCAGCCTCCAGCGCTCACCTGGAAAGTGCTGCAGATTCCCATCTCCCTGCAGGCCCAACATCCCACCAGGGCACCTGTTCTGGGCACTTTTGGCCTGGGGTGGGGAGCAGCAGCACCCACAACGGTTCCCTTGGTCAGCCTTGTTAATGCCTGATGGCCTACTAATTCCTGCACTGAGAGCCTCCTGTGCTACGCCCCAGGTCTTCCTCTTTTTCCAGGCTGGGGTGCCACAAACACTTCTACCCCCAAAACACGCCAGACACTGCCTTAGTGCAGGTGGCCCACAGCCACCTGTCTCTGCACCTACCTTCTCTCCAGGTTTTACCCAACATGACCCAGAATCCTTGTAGCTCAGCCACCCCAAACACTGCCTGGCCCCCTCCGGCTTGGGGCATGAGGTCTCCAGTCTTTTCTCATGTCTGCTTCCAGGTGGGGATGGGACTGGCCTGGAAGGCCTGGCTAGAGAAAAGGGAGGGGCATGTTGGGCACGTCCTTTCGAGCTGCCTCAGCCAGATGTGAAGTCTAACTAAACTGCACCCTGCTCGGCACCTCACTGACCCCCTGGAGAAGAGCAGAGCTGGCAGCCTGGGACCTTGGGGCCTTCCGGGATGCTCCTCTACTGTGTCTCCATCCTCCCAGAGGCTGGTGGCATCCCTGGCCCAGCCGGGAACACTCGCGGCAGGGCTGGCCTGACCCTTTGCTGGCGTGCGTCATCTACTGCTGGGAGGGTGTGTGGGCATAAAGGGGACCCCACACCCATCCCCTCACAGGGCTGAGAGGATGATGGGCAGAAGGGAAAAAAGCAGGTAGGAACAGCAGCAACTCTCAGGCACAAGTAGCAGAGAAAGGAGGGTAGGTCCAGAGGGACACCCATGGCCCCAGCCCCAAAGATGCCTGACAGCTCACAACAGCCACTTGCAAGCACACCACTGCAGAGGCCCATGCATTGGCAGAGAGAATGCAGATGCCTTGGTTTGTTTGTGGGGTGTGTGTGTATGTTATCTAACAAACTAACACCATTCAACACAGGGGTCGGGGGGAGGAGCCTTTTGGACAGTTTCACTGTCCCACCTAGTCACTGGAGGCCTAGACACGTGGAGCTGTGGGGGATGGGGTGGGGGTGGGTGGCTGGTTGGTTTCAAAGCCCCACAAACACCAGTGATTATCCCACATTGTTTTCCCTTTGATTAGTTTTCCCATTTCATCGGATGTCAATTTTGTGTGTGTGCGTGGTTGTCGTTGTCATCATTTAGTTCGTGGAAAGAAATCACATCTGGTCTTGGTTTTTCTTTAGACACAGGCACCAGGGGAGGGGATGAGGCAGACACGAACATGCGACAGGCAGGCCGTGCGCCCTGAGGGCGGCTGGGCTCAGAACACCAACTCCATCAGGATCATTCAATGGCAGGCAGCTCTGAAAAACAAGGCAGGGCAGGCAACCACATCAGTCACCGCAGGCTGGCTGAGGCCAGTGAGAGAAGGGGGTGGGGGGCACCGTCCTAAGTACTTTTATTTCTTTCACTTCTCTGACCCTAGGTTTTGTGATGTGAAAAACGATTTAAAGTCAATGTATATAAAAGGACTTAAATCAGAACACGGGGCCCAGTGTGGCATCACTCCATTATGCATTTGTACCTGTACAACTGAGATTGACTTTGATCTTAGTCACCACCTAGGTAACATGTACTCATGGGACTGTGACAGTGCTGGTTTGGGGACTAGCTGGCAGCAGTGCCTTGTCCTGTGTGCCCTGTAGGACTCACGCATCTGTCCGTATGCCTTGCCCGACAGCGGCATGCCGTGGCCATAGAGTGAGCCTGTAGAGCCCTCACCCCTCACTGCAGCCTTCCGACCAGCATGTGTAGCCCTTGTCTAGCCAGCTGTCCTAAACCTTGGAGGAGGCCCCTGCCTATCGAAGGTGGGGACATGACCCGCTGGCCTCCAGCATTCATGCCCTTCCCCTGGCTTCCCGTAATAGAGAAATGCACCCATGGGAACCAGTGGGAGCTCCCAAGCGTGGCTCTGCCACAGTGCCGTCGGCTCCCC